TTATTTTGTAGTGTTCATTTTGGATTACCTAATATTTTTGACATTTCTTTCATTGTTTCTTTTGTTTAGTGTTGTGAGATTTTGTACAAGTTTGTGGAAGTAGACTTCATTATAGTGCAAAGTATAGTGAGCAATGAATATTATTATTATTTTTTTTTTTAAATACCTAAAAGCATCCTTAAAATATCCTTAAAATGAAATCAAGAAAGGCGTAGAGGGGGGATTCGGAAACAGATATGACAAACTTTTACAGAAAGGTCTTTTTGCTGGTCACATTAAAGATACAAGTTCAAAGATAGAAGCCGGGATCGTAATGTAACCATGATACTAATAGATTAAAAAAAAAAAAAACAGTTAGGAAGACTGTTTCATACCATTTACTCCTATACAGTATGCGTGTCAAAAGTTTCCCTTGCTTTTTCTCATGTCAGTGACTACGGTTAAGTCAAATAAATTGTAGTCCTCTATGATATAGTGTTATTTGTATTTTTTTTCCTTCTGTTATATATGCATATATAAGCTATATATATATACATACTTGTAACAAGGAGCTTAACAAAACAGCTAACTAAAATGGGCAAGAGCATAGATTAGCCCATTTTAACTTCCCTGAATTTCAAGACCTCAAGGACTTCAATAACTTTACAACAGGTAGCTTGTGCAAAAATTGGCAAGAGGGAGATGGTGCGCTTGAAGATTCTGGATTGATTGATTATTTGAAATTATCTGCCGCGTCAACAGCTAAGGTCATTAGCGGCGAACACCTGAAGATTGTGGAGGGAGATAAGTGCTTCTGTTTCAGCAATTGCTTGGTCTGTCATATTTGCTGGGTGCCCAGCCATGTTGGAATCCCCGGCAATGAACAGGCAGATACACTAGCACGCCACGCTGCTATGTCCACATCATACCAACCACGCTTCTCACGTATCCCAGCCACGGATTATTGCCCACACTTTAAGACCTTCTTGTATAAGCGATGGCAATCTTTTTGGTCAAGCCTCCACACTAATAAATTACATTCTGTAAAACTATCAATCTCCTGGTCAGCTCCATTTCATCGGAACAGACGTTGGGAGACTGCTCTCGCCCGCTTACGCATTGGCCACACCCGTCTAACACACTCCTATCTGATGTCACAATCTGATCCACCCCTATGTTTCTTATGTAATGTTCCCCTTTCAATCGTACACATCCTATTGTCGTGCCCACGTTTTGAAGCAGCCCGTACCTCTGCTTTCCCCCACTTATCCTCCCTTCACCGACCTCCCAACCTATCAGACATCCTTACAGAATCCCACACTTTCTGCATCAACAACCTGTTCTCTTTCCTCAAACGCATACATATCCTTTATCTAATCTAACACCCGACCTTAACCCTTTCACTCACCAATTCCTTTGCCCAGCTTAGACAACTAATCACTAACTCAACCACCCTTCACTAACATTAACTATAGTGCTACATGACCTTAGATGTTTATCACATTTATCTTGCTTTTAACCATTAACCATTAACCATTGGTCTGTCATAATGACCCCTATTTTTTTCTTTTTCTCTTTTTTCAATGTTTGCTTCTTGCAATTCTTTAAAAAAAATAGGTAATTTAATTAGGTCACCCTAAGAAATATCTTATAATATGAATCTACTTGGTGAGTAATTAGATTTCTATCCATCTCTTGGTTCCTCATTCATACAACTCTATCTCACATTTTTCCACCCCTTAATAAAAGAATACAATCTATAGAGAAATGTGAATGGAGAGTGATTCAACTTTCTCAAGTATTATCAAGTATTATAACGTGTTCAAACATGATCCCATAAGTGCAGGTAATATCGCATGGCACCCAAGCAACATGGATTCCACTAAGATCGAGGCCAGGACAAATATTAAATTCATTATGAAACTCGGGAGAAAAGGCAAGTCACTGACGCTCTGGAACAATGTTCCAAAGAAATCAACAATCTACAAATGGATAAGTCGGTTCAGAAGTGGAAGAAACGAAATTGAAGATGAGCCCCGCAGTGGCAGACCATCAATGTCAGTTTGTGAGGAAAACATTTCTACAGAGAATTGTGGCAGGGGATGAAACATGGCTCTACCAGTACGATCCCGAGGACAAAATTCAATCAAAGCAGTGGCTGCCCAGGGGTTGAAGTGGACCAGTCAAAGCAAAATCTGAGCGTTCAAGAGGAGAGGTCATGGCCACTGTCTTCTGGGGTGCAGGGGTGATTTTGCAGGTTGACTCCCTCGAGAGCAAGAAAACAATCACATCTGCTTAATATGAATGCGTTTTGAGAAAGCTTTCAAAAAAATCTCCAGAAAAATGGCCTAGAAACTGCATCAACGCGTTCTCTTCCACCACGGCAATGCATCCTCTCACGGAGCTCGGCAGACAAGAACTATGCTACGTGAATTTCGATGGGATGTTGTCCAACATCCACCTTACAGCCCCGATTTGGCCTCATCCGACCTCTTTTTGTTTCCAAACGTCTAAAAGTCATTGAAAGGTACCAATTTTCCATCGGTTGAAGATGTAAAAAATTGCTGCTTGTACATGGTTCAGATCATGACTTCCAACTTCCAAAAACTATAAAGGATTTATTACACTTTCCCAAATTCACTGTCAAATGATGAGTACTGTATTTCTTAGTGATGATGATAATAACAATGATAATAATGGTAATAATAACTAGTAATAATAATGATAATAATAATAATACTTATTATTATTGCTATAATTACTATCATCATCCTCGTTATTATTATTTATATTATAAGTTTTATTATCATTATCATTATTCTTTTTATTCTTAATATAAAATTATCATCATCATTATTATTATTATTATCATTATTATCATCATCATCATCATTAACATTATCAATATCATTATTTTGTTATCATTATTTTTTTCCTAATATAAAATAATGATAATATTTATCATTATCATCATCATCATCATCATCATCATTATCATTATTATTATAATTATTATATTAATAATGATAACGATAATAACAAGTATTATTATTATTATAATTGTCATTTTTTCTATAATTATCATTACTTCTATTTTTATTTTTATCATTATTATTATTGCTAAATCATCATCATCATCAGTATCACAAACATTACCATCATCACTATCATCATCACCATTACCACTGCCATAATGTACTGTATATTCTGTGTCAGTCCCGGTTAACCTTTCTTGTTTTCCGTCGTTGTACTATCTGTCTATCTGAATGTTTTTTTCTTTTCTGATACCGGCTTTTGATGCAATATTACTTATAATGTTTAGTGTATAATATGAATAATTCATACAGAAGAGAGATGATGCATAAATAGCTTTCTTCCTCTGATTTATACTGTAGACCGCTTGGCTGCCATTCTTAAGACTCTTAAAACGGATTCAGCCGCCGGTTTACGTACCCGGTGGTTATATGTAACTATATGAATACACACTTACGCACGCACGCACACACACACGCACACGCACACGCACACGCACACGCATACACACACACACACACACACACACACACACACACACACACACACACACACACACACACACACACACACACACACACACACACACACACACACGCACTCACGCACACACGCACGCACACACGCACACACACACACACACACACACTCACGCACACACACACACACAGACACACGCACGCACGCACACGCACACGCACACGCACACACATGCACACAGACGCATACGCATATTTAAAAAAAATGCTGTTATTATTATTGTTGTATTGTTGTTATTGTTATCATTATCGCCACCACCATCACTACCATCATCATAATCATCATCACCATTATCATTATGATCACCATCACCATAATAACCTTTATCATTATGATCATCATCATCATCATAATCTTCATCATCACCACTATCGCCATCATCGTCACCATCATTATGATCATCACCATCATTGTCACCACTATCACATCATGATCGTCACCACCATTACCATCATGATCATCACCACCATCATTATGATCATCACCACCATCATCATCATCATCATCATTATGATCATCACCATCATCATCATCACTACCATCATCATCATCATCGTCGTCATTATGACCATCATTATCATCACTATTAAGAGGAATGGAAACATCCTTCAGAGCAGGCAGGTCATTCAACGTAGATAACGACAGATAAACTACAAATCAAAAGGAAGTTAGTGTGAGTTAAAATGACTGTCCTCAGAGTACAAGATATGTATTTGTTGCAGTGAATGTTGCACAGGATGTTACCATCTTGAATCTGGTAAGATGGTGTTAATTACAGCAAGAAAGGAAAATTAGATATTGATTTATATTTTCAATGTTAATGACGTTGATTTTATTTTTTTAATGTCTCAAATGAAAGTTGATTTAGGGTGCCTTAAAACGACGAATTTACTTTCTATCAAAGAGTAAGGGTTATGAACACATGTACAAATAAAACTGAGAATAAATTTGATCTCAGTGAAGAAAAAAAAAGATCTTTGAAATATCGTAAATTAGCTTGATAAAGTATTGACTTATAGACAAAATTTCGTGTGATTAAACACAGAAGTTATACGGAGAGACAAGAACAAACATTAAAAAAACAAAAAACAAACAAACGTAAACCTTACATCTACCAGCATCCGGTCATTGTTTTATCTGACCTTTGATAATCGCTTCTCTTAACTTTGAGGTTTTTCTCAAATCCTCTCTTCTTTGGAATCCATAGAATTCGCTCTTTTTGTGACTTCATGTCTTACTGTATTTTCTTTTCTGTCTTATTTCCGTTAGGTAGGATTTATAAGCCGTACGTTTAATAACTTTTTGTTTTCTGAAGAGAGTATGATCCGTAAATCTATAATTGATAGTAATTAATAGTAATAATGATCAGTCTTTTATGATATATGTTTCTTATTTTTTTTCTAATATGATAAATTGTTGAATAGAGAAGGAATTACATTTAAAGCCAC